TCAAGTTACAGATGCAACGATGTGAATTCTGAGTGGATTTGTATCCGTTGGAATTTTGTGGGGCTGGTGTGGTGTTTGGGATTCAATGGTTAAAAGAGCTGGGGCCGGCAACATGTGATTGGGACCACCTCACAATGGATTTCTAGAGCCAAGGCAAGCAGTCACCTTAAAGGCTGGGAACCCGAGCCGATACAACAAGAGAAGTTAAACCTTATTCTAAAGGTGAGAACTGGTGCAAAGGGAGCTATACTAACGAGCCTAGGCGTGAATCAGCCAGGCCCAACCTTGTCCAGGAACGATATTGAAACTATTTCTGAAACACAGGAAACAGAACTGCAGCTACTGCTCACTGATTACTCATATGTTTTCCAAGAACCCTCTGGCTTACCGCCAGTGCGGTTGCATGACCATCGGATTCCAATCAAACCGGGTGTTGTGCCTGCTAATGTGCGACCTTATCAGTATCTGCATTGCCAGAAAACAGAAATAGAAAAATTGTTGAAGGAACTTAGGGAGAAAGGCATGATACAGCTTAGTAACAGTCCATATTCAGCACATGTCCCCTTGGTTAAGAAGAAAGACAGCACGTGGCGTTTTTGCATTGACTAACGTGCCCTAAATAAAATTACAGTCCGGGATTAGTTTCCGATACCTGTAATTGTTGAACTGCTGGATGAGCTTGGCATGGCTAAGATATTCTCCAAATTAGATTTACGAGCAGGGTGCCATCGAATTAGAGTACATGCTCAAGACGTCTATAAGACGGCATTTAGGGCGCACAAGGGCCACTATGAATTTTTGGTGATGCCTTTCGGCCTCACTAATGCCCCGTCTACTTTTCAGTCCTTAATGAATGAGATCTTTCGTCCGTATTTGCAGCATTTTATTCTGGTGTTTTTTTATGACATTTTAGTTTACAGCACAGATTGGAAATCTCACATGCAACATTTGCGCTTCACCTTTGACATTCTTAGAGCCAATCAGTTGTATGCGAAAAGGTCAAAATGTGATTTTGGACAGACGCAAATCTACTATTTGGGACACATTGTCACAGCAGGCACAATCAGAGCTGATCCAGACAAGATAAATTGTATGTTGCAGTGGCCCAAGCCCACAACTGTCAAGGATCTTAGGGATTTTTTGGGCCTTACTGGGTATTACAGGCGGTTCATTAGGGGGTACGGAACTATGATGGCCCCACTAACAGACTTGCTCAAGAAGAATGCTTTCCATTGGTCAGAAGAAGCGGAGAATGCCTTCACGACACTGAAGATGGCCCTTACGACCCCCCTCCATCTTGTCCCGACCAGATTTTTCTAAACCGTTTGTAGTAGAATCGGATGCATCGGGAAAGGGCATAGGGGCAGTATTGTTACAAGACGAAAAGCCCATTGCCTATTCCAGCAAGGTTCTTTCACCACTGGCCCAGGGTAAGTCCACGTATGAAAAGGAGTTAACGGTTGTTGTTTTGGCTGTGAAAAAGTGGAGGGAGTACTTGTTGGGTCGAGCTTTTACCATTCTCTCCGATCAAAGAAGCTAAAGATATCTAATAGAACAACCTGCTCTGAATGAGGTACAGCAAAAGTGGCTATAGAAGTTGTTGGGCTTTGACTTCACAATAGAGAACAAAACAGATCCGTCCAATCTGGTTGCAGATGCTTTGTCAAGGCAACATGAGTGCTATCAGATGGTAGCTTCTAAGCTCACTTATCCATTTATGACTCAGATGGGGAACAAGTCCCACCTGGTTTCTCCCTTTGTGATGAAATTCTGATGCACATGGACAGAATGGTGTCGCCAGATAACTCAACCCACATTCCGACCCTCTTGGAGCGAGCTTTTTCATGCTTCTCCAGTAGTGGGGCATTCAGGCATCCTACAAACCTATCGTAGGGTATCCTCTCATTTTTATTGGATGGGAATGAAGAGACAGATTCGGGAGTATGTTGCCACGTGTACGATATGTCAACAGCATAAATATGACAATCAGTCCCCGGCTGGGCTGTTACAGCCCATACCGCTCCCGGAACAAGTGTGGGATGAGGTAACTATGGATTTCATTACTGGTCTACCTCCTTCCGGTGGGAAGACAACCATTGTTGTTTTTGTGGATCGGCTGTCCAAGTATGCACATTTTGCACCACTATCCCATCCATACACTGCAGCACAAGTGGCCAAAATTTTTGTCCAGGAGGTCTCCCGTTTACACGGCATGCCCAAGACAATTATCTCTGATCAGGACTCAGCTTTCATGAGCCGTTTCTGGTCTGAATACTTCTGGGTGCAAGGAACAAAACTCCACCATTCCACCAGCTATCATCCACAATCCAACGGACAGACAGAGGTGGTGAATCGTTCCCTTGACACCTACCTTCGGTGCTTTACTAGTGATTACCCCAGTTAGTGGGTCAAGTGGCTTCTGTGGGCAGAATACTGGTATAACACTTCTTGTCATGTTTCAATTATGAGAAGGGATCCACGGCTGTGGCTGAAGTAGATACACATCTAACTAGCAGTGATGCAGTCCTTAAGGACTTAAAGGCTAACTTGCTAAAGGCTCAACAACAAATGAAGGCCCACTATGATAAGAAACATCGAGATGTTCAGTTTAAGGTAGGACACTGGGTTTATTTGAAGCTAAGGCCCTACAGGCAGAGTAGCTTGGCTAAACGATCCTCCCAAAAGTTGGCACCCAGATTTTATGGTCCATTCCGTGTTATAGCAGTGGTGGGTAAGGTGGCTTACAAGTTAGACCTCCCTAGCTCTTCCAAGATACACCCCACATTTAATGTGTCTCTATTGAAGAAACATTTAGGGTCAGTTCCTTCGGTTTCAGCTTGCTGATTTCAGGTGGATCCAAGATGGCAATAAGTTGGTTCAACAAGCCTTGGTGGTCTGGAAACACCTCCCACCTGAAGACGCCACCTGGGAAGACTACTAGTTGCGGGGACCTCCAAGATGGCCCAAGCCATTTTCAGAATCTCCTCCCCCCCCCCTAGGTGTGTATTGTGCAAAGCCAATGGTGAGACTTGCTTCTGTCCTTTTGTTTTATGTTTTTGGGAATGGTTCTTCTCCTTGTTTCGGTGTAGGTGGAATCCCCCGGCTGATGTGTGAAGCTTATTTGACCCTTCCTTCTTTGGTGAGCAAAAGAAAAGGGGAAGGAGTATGTGGCAAATTACAATTAGAGTGGTCCTTTGGTAGCAATCTTTGGATTCATTTTCTACTAGTTCTGTGAGTGACATCATCTCAAACTGGAAGGAAGTGGCAAATTCTGCCCCAATGAAGAATATCAGTTTTCCTTCTTGGTCTCCACCAGAAAGAGGATTTGTTAAGCTCAACTTTGATGGAAGCAGCTTGGGTAACCCAAGCTTGTCAAGAATTGGAGGAGTGTTCAGGGATGAAGAGGGGAAAATTTAGGCTTTTGTATTCTGGCCCAATTGAAGGAGTAAAGAGGGTGAAATCTCTGAACATTGAAAAATTCTATAGAGCTTTAACTTTTTTTTTGAAAGTAACAAAAAAGAAAATTTTATTAAATAGAAAAGAACCACAGGTCACAGCATGGTGTAGAGATTACACCACCAGTTGTTACAGAGATGTATTCCAAATTACATTCTTGAATCTCAAGTGCACTCCAAAAGGAGGACTCAAAATCTGACAAAGAAATTCGAGCAAAACCCGGAAGGATGAGCACCCAAGCTGAAACAGTCCTTCCAATGGACCCCACCACCTTCTGTAGCTCACACTGACTGCACTCGAATACTCTTCTGTTTCTTTCTCTCCAAATTGACCAACAGACAGCTAAAGGAATACAGCTCCACACAATTCTGGCTTTTTTGCTTCCCTTGTAGGATGGCCATTTGGAGAACATTTCAGCCGGAGACTCAGGAAGGAAAAGATGCAAGCCAAACAGATCTGAATAATAACTCCAGCACATCTCAGCCACTGAGCACAAGAAGAACAAATGAAGTACTGTTTCCTCACTTTCTCTGCAGTCTGCACATATGGCATATGTTTGCCATGTGGAAGCCTCTTGGCTTCAAATGGTCAGTGGTGAGAACACTATCCATAGCCACCAACCACGCAAATGCCTCCACCCTAGGTGGAACAGGATTACCCCACACACCCCTATCTCTTTCCCCATCTGGTTTTAATCAGAGCTACATAGAAGGATTTCACCGTGAACTTCCCATTCTTACATTCCTTCCAAATTTATTATTTCCCAACAATCCTAATAAAAAGCTTTTTTAAGTATTTTATTTCTTTTAGAATTTAGATTAGCATATTCTTGTATATTAAGGTTTTATTTTATTTTTCAAAATCGGTGCCTCACATCATTCAAGGGCATGCCTTGCATTGTGTCTCAATCTTCAGTAATGAACTCAAACAACCTAAGCTAAAGCATGAATGTCTTCCCAAGTCCAGCTCTTGGTAACACCAAATCAAAGGCAGCTATAGCAAATGCCATTCTATTTTCAATCCATATCATAATTCTAGACCTTAAAACAACTAGTCACCACATTCCACAAGACACTGAGATTAGAGTATTTAATGCAATTGGAGAGAAGGATAGAACAAAAAGTACCACATTGATATCAACCCTAGAACCTAGAATTGATTAGGTCATCAACCTCAACAAGTAGGCAAAACTTTTTGAGGAACAACTACTCCTTTATGTACAAGTATCATTTTCTTTCTCTTGGAAGATACCCTATTCCCTATATTCCTTTGGCTATTCCTTTATGTAGAAGTAGCATTTTCTTTCTCTAGGCAGATATCCTATATTCCTATGGCTAAACCAGAAACCAAATCTCAAGGTTTTACCACAGAGGCATGCCTTCAAAAGTTGTATCAGTGTTTATTGTAACAACTTTACATCCAAGCAAAAATGAAGTTCTAATTATTGATACATTGTAAACTACAAAAATTACATAGATGGTATGACTCTGCCATATCATAAACAAAAAGTACATAAATGAAATTGGTAGTACAGGTTGACTCACCTCCAGGTCTGAAAACTCAAACCAAGGGCAACAATCAATGATCTCGCAAACAAAAACAACTGTATCACGTACAAGAAATCCTGCATCTGCTTCCAGCATATCAGAAACCTTCATGAATTGGAGGACGGAATTATTCCATGTTTTCGTACAAATAGAGGACTCTTTCCACACAGTTTTAGCAGGATTCTTCTGATTCACCACTGCCATCCTGTATCTGACCCAAAAATTCTTATCAGGATCACTTCCAACTGATTGATCACTCTCCAGATATATACATATGGTGTCAAAAGACTCGTAAACACCTGCATCATGACCAGTCAACATGAAAGCAACAACTTGGGATAAGAAAGTCATTGAATAAAACATCTACAACTGCATTTTTTTGAAGGAAATGAACAATAAGCAAATAACATCCACATACCAATCCGAAGTTCACATCCACCAGCTTGAAAAAATTTGCTAAAGATTTTTCGGGTTTCCATTATTTCTTTGAAGGACAAGAAGTTCTCCACCTTCCATGTAAATGACCCTATTTTTCCAGCTCCATCAATTTGAGTACCTGCATTACTAGACTCCATATCTTGATCAGTGAAATCCTGCATTATAGATGTCTCCTTCAAGATAAGAACCTCTGCCGAGAACACAACAGTATCCTGAACAAGAAACCCAGAATCCTGATCAAAGAGACTAGTAAGCGTGATAAACTCACGCCAGCCCCAGTCCTTTGCAGCCTTGGAGTACCGGTTCTGAGACTCCTTTGTAACAGACTTCTCCTCCATCCTCTGGTTCACAACTGACAACCTATGACTCACAAAACAACTCCAATCGCTGGCAGTGTTTCGAGAATCCGTAACTTCAAGAAATACAGAAAGGTGGCATGGTGGCTGAGACTGTCCTGGTGCCATCAAGTAGAAATTCCATCAGTTCTCTTTCAGTTTCAAGGTCTAATGAAGTGGTAAAATAGCTTTTAGTATACAGGCATAAGCATGTCAGCCTCATTTACAATCAACTAAATGACCATAGGGGCTAATCATTCTGAATAATCTAAAAATGAAAGATGGATAAAAGTCATAAAACAAAGACTCCTGCAGAATAGCTACATTAGTAGGGAAAAACTGAAAAAGTCATAAAACAATCCTGAATGCCCGCTGGTCTTACCCCTGGGATAGACAATGAGGCGACAATCCCGATTACCAATCTGAAATCTCCTGCTCTTGACACACAGTCCCGTGATCTTCCTCTTCTTCAAAAGGTCTTTCAGCCTCGTGAAGTTATCAATCCTCCAAGTGAACTTCCCCATATGCCCATCAGACTTCCTTGCCCCACCACCACTCCTCCCTCCAAGCAACCCCCCATTCTTGGAGAAGCTACTAGATTCCTTAATCACGTGGAACGAAGCACTGAAAACAGCAGTATCATCGACAAGAAACCCTGTATCCGATCCAATAAAGTCCGACATCTTCATGTAATCATTCCACCCAAGACTGGTGTTATCCCCACTCTTGTTATCAGCTGCAAACCGCCCATAAGAGTCCCTGTGCATGTGATTAAACCCAGGTTTCTGGTTCAATACTGACATTCGGAACAAACACCAGCAGCTCCGGTCGGAAATCACCGACTTCTCGGTGTCCTTACTCTCCAAACACATTGACATATACTCAACCCCATTTACTGAGCTCTGATAAACACTAATCCGAAGATTGCATTCGCCGGCAGGGAAAACAGGGCTCATTATCTTCTGCGTCTTGATCATCTCCTTGAACAAGCTAAAGTTATGAACCTTCCAAGTGAACTTCCCACTCAAAACATCCGCTATGGGACTTGCAATGACGACGGAGGAAGATGAAGAGGACGAAGACTGTAACTCATTGTTATCTCGAGAGAAGGATATTGATTCATTCAAGACCAGAATATCGGCAGTGATGAGAACAGAGTCGTTATTGAAGAGGAACCCAGCTTTGGGATCGAGAATTGTGGAAGAAGGGGTGAAGTCGCACCAGCCGTGCGATTTCTTCTTGCTGGAAAACCGATGCCAGGAGTCTCTCTGGATGGACTTGGACTCGTCGACGTGATTCACGATGGAGAGGCGGTAGCTGGCGAAACAGTCCCATTTCGACGACGATGAGCCGCGAGGATCCATGATTTGGAGATAGATTGAGAAGTAGCCTGGAAGGGCTTGGGAGTCACCTTTGGGGTAGATGAGGAGGCGACAGTCGTAACCACCCACCTCGAAGTACCGGCTCCAGAGTGCCCTAGCTTTCACCCTTGGAAAATTGGCGACCGTCCACCGGCAGACGGCCGAGTGATCCCCCCGTCGTTCGACGGTTACCGATTCCTGTCCACCACCCTCTCTGGACCCCACCGGCTCTTCCGCCGCGGTTATCGATACCGACACAGTCGTCTTCTCCGATGCCATCGATGATGACGATGAAACCGCCGCAGGGTGTTGTGGTGGGTCGGAGACAGAAGAGATGGACGGTGATTGAGACGATGACGATGCTATTTCCGATACGCTCGGCTTCATCGTGAATAGAGAGAGGAGAGAGGTGGGGGCAGGCACCGTTTCTGTTTTCGTTCTCTATTCTTTGTTTTATGGTTTTTTCTATCTATCTCTGGTTCTGAATTCTGATTGATATTTCCCTCGGTATTAGACTCTAGCGCGAGAAAGAGAGAAAGAGTGTTTTATCAAGTTTATGCTGTTGCGTGAGAAAGAGAGAGGAGAGAGAGAAGATGTGTGGTGATGTAGGGAGAGGGCATATGGGGATTTACAGGGGCTCGAGCTCAGAATAATTTTTGGCTTCTTTAGGTCTACAATTACATGATGAAGACGGGATTCGATCCCAAGTCTCCGCTGTAATCAGCCAGAGACCTTTACCGATTGAGCCAGCTGGCAACTTACTAGGGCAGGATAGTTAAGCTGCGCACTCAGCCACTCACGTCACGACTCTATATGATGATCTAGCGCATACGATTCTAACTATCTAACGTAGGATAAATCGGATCTACCGTTTGATCTATTGACTAGCCTCTGCTTCGATGTCCCTAAATTTGCCACGTAGGTCGAATGGGGAGATGGGTGGGGTGTTTGAGTTTCTCTGTTGGTGGCGTTTCTGGGGATTATGTTATGATTACATGCATCAAGCATGTCGCACTCGCACATTCATGCATCATGGATGGATGAGTTGGACGAGGAGAGAGGTGAGAGGTTGGTAGTACCGTTGGTAGTTCGGCTCCTGCAATCCTCAGAAGGCACGTGGAAGTTGGGGGAGCATTGATCTGATCCATCTAATCTAATAAGAATAAGGGATGATGCAATTACAGTCTAGTTAACTGTTAATCGGTACGGATGGTGCTGTAGATGGTGCAGGCTTTGACCGTCCGATCAAATAGGCAGATGTTCTTCCATCCATCCGAGGGATGGCGATTGGTGAAGCAGCACCAGATTCGTGTTTGTACGGTGAGATGGCTCTGATACTTCACCTGATGGGTCCCATTCCTTCCTTTGCTTTGAGTTTGACCATTTGATTTGAACCCTCCAAAGTCCAAACAAACAAAAAGGGGTAAAAGTCGAAGCAAAAATGAATCAGAATTTGCATTCGAATCATTTGACACCCATGCTTTTGCACCAATACAAAGGCATGAACTAACAATAAAAGCATACTGGGTCCATGGGGGACTAGAAAAAGAAAGCAAAAATGGGTTGTGGTCTTGTGGTGGTGGTGATCCATGAGTCCATGGGACCCATTGAAGCAATGGGTAATGGGTCCAATCCACCATGTCTCTCCGTCACACATGATAGCATGAATATTGTAGACCAGGCCAGGGCCCATTCTCTTGGGTGGATTTCATCTTTGGATGTTGGGAAGCAAGAGGTATAATGATTATTTGAATCAATCAATAGCAGGAACAAGGAGGATCCTTCTTGCCATCTCTGGCTAGGAAATGAAACAAATAAACCTATGTGGATTTACATCTTGAATACAGAGTTTCTTGTGCACTACCCATTGCCACCTTCTAAGAAAGGATCAATATAAGCAGAGAAATAGCCTTTGAATATGATATGGCTTGCTAATTTTATCATCAGCAGCAGCATCTAAGCCTTGTTCAAATTATGGGGGTGCTCGATACAAATTTGTACGAGAGAGATTTTTCTTCCCAAAACGTTTTGAATTGATCGATACAAATTGCTATCCATACTACATTCTAAAATGCAGTTGCCCACACCAAATCCCTTGTATTACTTCCAAACCTTTTTAGAATTTGTGATTTTTTCACTTTTTAAAAATAAGAAATTAAATATGGGGTTATTTAAGCACACCCACAACTGATTCAGTTAAGAAACTGAATGTAACATGGGCACCTTTTTAACACCAGCCCATGCTTCGCATCGGGTCTCTTCTAGTTTCTGCCTAAAATGTAGAATTTGATGTTTCTCACATACATGCATTTTTTTCTAGTTGAAATGGCACTCATGTATGATGGCAACACATTTTTCACAAATTTGTATTGATCAACCCAAAATGTAATGGCAATGTTACACCACTATACCAAACACCCCCTATATATATTATATATGGAATTGGCATAATGAAAGTTATTAGCAAAAGTTTGTGCTAGGTACCAACATGATGCAATTTAAAGATGAAGACAAATTCACATTGGCAGAGATAGTATGGCTTGCCAATTTAAAGATGACAAATGTGTTAGGTTAAGAAAGTTGCAAGAAGTTTGTCCAAGTGAGGTGGTAAGATTAATAGTTTTTTCCACTACAAATACTAAGAGGGGCACCACAACACGCATGCAAATAAAACCCAACCTAAATTTAAGAAATTGAGGAGCTTTTTTTTTTAATTACATCCTTTAATGGTTCAAATTGAATTAAATGCAGATTTCATGAAGTTGGGGAAAAGACAAAAAAGTTCTTAAGAAATTCCATAAAGTTCTTTTGGCTTATTTATTTGCATTCGAAATCTAGATCAAATGCAAATTTTGACTTAGTTCAATTTCACTTAGGCTAAGTTTGAAAAGGGTACAATTACAAATATGTATAATACAAATACATACAAAATAATAGAAACTATAAGGTTTTGAACTCTATATATTTGTATTTGTACTCTTTCCAAACCATAAGCCTTATGTTTATTTGTTGTTATGATTTGCATTCTTACCTGATGCAAAATTTGCACTTTTATCTCATTTGCATTCATTAGATATTCAAACTTTACATCTATGTGTGCCACCTTCCTCTATCTTAAGTCTCTCTTATATAAAGTGGGGACCATAACAATTTTCGTCCTACCTTACTTGCCCATCACAACATTTTATTGCTCTCGAGCAAACAAGCGAAACGTTAAATGGGAAGCAAAAGTAAACTAGACTATACACTCAGGTGGTGTTTTGGCAATGCTGAAACAGGGTTTGATATTTTCAAAGGTTATATGTTGTTTGTGTTGACATTTGAGACATACCTTTCAAAATGATTATAAGTTTGATTTTGGTAAGAAGGTGGTCCATGGTAGAAGGCGATCAAACGTGTTGTAAATAGCTCATAATGGTTAACATGCCCTCTTTTTTCAACTATAAAAAATAAAATAAAACATGGCCTCCTTTTTCTTAATATTATAAAGGCTCTATTGCCTAGTGTTGATGCTTGGGATGGACGAGGACAACATTGTCAATTTACTCCTAAGCCAAGGTCTTTGAGGTGTCCGAGGTCTGAGGTGATTGAGGACTAGTAGGTCGATCCTACAAAAAGGAGAACGTCAGAGGCCCTGGGTGAGAACCCGAGGTGGGGACTTTGATAGTCAAATTAGTAATAGGAGAGGTTAAGGTGGATGAGGTCTGAGAGGTAAGCACCCAGACGAGGCCACAAGAGATCTCAAGTGCTAGCTAGAGAGCTTAAGTTTCGATCATTTTACCTTGGGGGTTCATCTCCTATTTATACTTGAGGCCACCAAGTGACTCTGTGCTATTGGCTCCGCAAAGCCCACCGAGCTCCATTGCATGCATGCCCTGATTGGGTCTGCTCTGAACTATGTCACCCGCCACGTGTAGGCCCACAGTAGGATGAGACCATGCGTGCCTACATCACCTACTTACTTTAACCCAAGAGGGGGTGAATTAGGTTCTAAAGCATTTTGCCCGAATACAAACCTGGTGAAATGGAAGGTAGTGTCTACAATGCAGTGTGATATAATTAATGAAGTAAATAAACAAGTAAAGTTAATCAACTACAATAAAGTAAATTACAAAGAGATTTATAGAGGTTCAGTCAAATCCAAGTCCATTTATTCTCTTTAGGCAACCTCCTAGGAATTTCTACTAAAGTAGCTGAATTTCTAAGTGCCAACAAAACCTTACAACAGTTGGGCTTCTAACTGTCAACCAACCTTAACAATTAGGCTTGTGGGTGCTAACCAGACCTTTGATGGTGTTCATACTTAAACACAATAGTATAATAAGATGATAAACAATAAAGGACAAATATTGTAAATGCATCTTGTTAAGCTAATGAAACTAATTTAGAGTATGTACTGATGCTATAGGCTCAGTCACTTGAAGAGATTTAGGAAATCTCAGTGAAAAACAAATAATCTCAAAATCTACACAAAGTATTTAAACACAAAAATCTTTTCTTTTCTAAAACACTCCTGCACAAAATGCTCTCTTTTCACTTTGCTAATTTTCACAATTCAAGATCTTAAGCTTTTTAGTTCAAAGTCATTGATCTATAATGCTTGAGAGCATAATGACTGTTATAGATCAATTGGAAATGAATTAAACCAAACTTATAAATGTTTAAAGCAAATTCCCAACAAGATTGGAATTTTACCAGAAGTGGAAAGAATCGTCAAACTTGAACCTTCAAACGATAAGTTTTTTTGTCAAATAGTCGATTATCATGACCCAGTAGTTAACTATTATGCACATAGAGGAATTTCTTTTCATTGGTAGTCAATTGTTTCTTCATGATAGTCAATTACTAATAAATACTTGATCTCGGCTATGAGACATAATTGACTATAACTTATTGGTGGTCAACCATTGAGCAATGTCAATATGACACAAGCCTTAGCTATCAAAGGTAACAACTATACCTTCATGGACAATTGACTATCGGGTGACAACAATCTCTATTATCATGTATGGTCAATTAATGATAATTCTCAACTTTAAAAACTGAAAATTTATGACTTTAGAGGTCTAGGAGTCAACTCCTTGGGTTTTCAAACTTAGATTTTTCACTTTTGAGTCTACGAAAGGGTCTAAGAACACTCGAGAATTAAACTTAATTCTAGCTATTGGTCTCTAAGATTAAGTTAACCAATTTAGGTCTATGGCTAACCCATAGTGTGCATCTTTTGCAAATGATTACATTAAGTCCTAAGGAATGAGATACAATATAAAGCATGGAGCTTGCTGCTTTTTCCTTTGAGCTCTTGATAGCATTCCATCTTCCTTGGAGTGACTGGATGATAGACAATTGCCCAAATGCATTTCATCCAATTTGATTCTTTATAGTAGATTGTCAAATATTTTAACTCATTGCACACATAACATCATTTCAATTACTCTCAATGAATTTATTATCACCAAAATATATAAGGTCAATAGCTTTGGAAAAAGAAAAAACAGATTTACTATTTTTAAATATATCAAACTTGTAAAAACTAAAAAGAGCTTTCCTACTTTTTAGTATTAATCCATTTAC